AAAAACGTGTTAGAGATGCTGCTGGTTGTTATTTGAGACCCAGCTATTATTTGATTATTGAATAACACATGACTGAAGACTGAATGCACTATGATTAAAGGCAGAAGTAGTGTTGGTAAATGACAACATCTGATCATTTCTCCGTATCTCATTCTGTTAAAGGTAAATACTTAATGTTCACCATGGTGCTGGTCACATTCTCGATTGTAAGCACCGTCTGCGTCCTCAACGTCCACCATCGCTCACCGTCCACTCACTACATGCCTGACTGGGTCAAACGGCTCTTCTTAGTCCGTCTACCTACCTTCCTCCTCATGAGGCGTCCAGGCTCTTCCAATGTTCGTGATAAACTGCGCCGGAAATACACCAGTCGGAGTATTGTCTGTAAAAATAACACCCAAAGCAGCACAAACAAAAAGCAGTACTCAAACATCAGACTCGGTGGCATCAGAACCGACGCCGACGCTTTCTACGTGAATGAGGATTTGGCGCAGCGGTGTTGCTGGCCGGCTGGTGACATCCCGGATGGTGGCGGTGGCTTTTCAGACTTCCAGAGGCCTTTGGCCAATCAGTTAGATGCAGATCTGGAGGAGGCAGTGGATGGAGTGAGATACATAGCTGAACACATGAAGACAGAAGACGACGATGAAGGGGTAAGAAAAAAAATAGATAGGTGATGATGAATAGGGGAGATAGGGGGACACCAAAAAATTTAAAGGAATAGAAGATAAAATATATTCTTGCAGAGACATAAAGAGGAAAGGAAAGCCATACAAAAACAGATTATGGAGATGCATGATGTCAGACAAGCGACAAGGTGGAAATGGAAGATTACCAGGGCAAAATCAGATGTGAGACGAGCCATATCTCAGTGTTCAGTGTTTGCTTTTGTTCTCTTGTCATACAATTGGAATCTGTCAGCTATATATTTTACTATATACATTTCTAATGTCATCAGAAAGCTCTCCACATATTTTTGTGTAAAACACACGCTGACTGAAGCACATATCATAAACCTCAGCTCTCAGATTTAATAAATATTACAAACATGTTTAGCATCTGTAATTGTACTCTTTCTGAATGACATGCTAACCCATCGCTCCAGGGGGTGTCAAACATAAGGCCCGGGGGCCAGAATCGGCCAGTCAAAGACTCCAATCCAGCTCACTAGATGTCTAGTGATGTGAAGGAGAGCATAGGTTTTATTTCCACACATTTTACAGTCCTAGTGATAAAAACCACCCCACAGCCATTCATACTACACCGAAGTAATGAAGTAATAGACAAATAAATGACAGAAAAGTTCTTGTTTTTTCAACTAGCTAC